GATGTTATTTATTTATTTATTTCTCAGAGGGAGTGAGAGAGACAGAGCACAGCAGGAGGAGCGGCAAGAGAGGGAGAAGCAGGCTCCCCGCTGAGCAAGGATCCCAAAACAGGACTCAATCCCAGGATCCCAGGATCATGACCTGAGCCAAAGGCAGATGCATAATGGACTGAGCCACCCAGGTGTCCCTAAAATAAATAAATCTTTAAAAAAAGAAAAAAAAAGAATTGCAGGAAAATGGACATTAGAGACCATGTTAGGAGAACCAATCTTTAACGAGCCAGATACTGTGCTGGCATCTAAGATCCATTATCTCATTTAATCCTTCAGCCTAAATTTCCTTCACATGCCCACTTTCTAGTAGAGAAATTTAAGACTCAGAGAGAGAAAGAAAGAGAAGCCAAATTAGGATCAGAAACCAGGCCCTGGTTTAACACCCAGTGCAGTTTGAATGTTTATAAGTTCTAAAGTTATGTAATTTAATTTTTAACTTTTGCAATCATCTTAATGGAAAATTAAATTATGATTTTTGAGTTTAGCTAAGATAAACAAGAGAAATACATGAATATAAACAAAGCATTCTCAAAGAGCTTTTGTAAATTAAAAGTAGAATTAACATATGATCCAGTAATTCCCCTGCTGGGTATTTACCCAAAGAAAATAAAACACTGATTCAAAAATATATATGCACCCCTGTGTTTATTGTAGCATTAGTTACAATAACCAAAATATGGGGTGCCTGGGTGGCTCAGATGGTTAAGCGTCTGCCTTCAGCTCAAGTCATGATCCCAGTGTCCTGGGATCGAGCCCCACATCGGGCTCCTGGCTCAGTGGGGAGCCTGCTTCTCCCTCTCCGTCTCCCTCTCTGTTTGCCTCTCCCCCTGCTCATGCTCTCTCTTTCTGTCTGTATCTCTGTGTCTCAAATGAATAAATAAAATCTTAAAAAAAAAAAACAATAACCAAAATATGGAAGCAGCCCAAGTGTCCTTTGATAAATGAATGGATAAAGAAGATGTGGTATATATATACGATGGA